ATTATCATGTTTCTTTTCATTTGTGCACAAAATTTAAACATTGTGATGGTTAAATTAATTATTTATATGTAAAATATACATGTATATATATATATATATATATCATATGTAGACTATTGTGAATGTAGTATTGCTTAATTTATGATAATTTCAACATAAGTAAACATGAAATCGAAAACTATAAAACTTTGAAATTTCAAAAGATTATACTTCAACCTATCAACAAATTCAAAGCCTAAATTCTATATAAAAACACAACAACATGTTAGTAGTTTCTACATTGTATGAAAAAATAACAACTCTTAGAAAATGTATTTGTTGGAAACAATTAAAGTTGTATCAATATGCAAATAAAATTTTCATATTTTGGTAGTTGGATCTCAACTTTTAATCAATTTTCTTTGAAAATATTCTAAAGCATATAAAACTAAGAATAGAAAAAAAGGAATAAGAATTATTTCACGATATTTTTTTTGTCTATTTAGTATCTTCATTCACAAAACAGATTATTAGGTTTTATCTCTCATTTAACCGCTGTTAAACCTTATTTTTCTACCATCACAGTACAATAAACTTTTAATGTGTGATCTCTTCTTTTAGAAGTAAAGTAGACTTTAATCTCCCATTGAAATACATATGAATAAAATAAAACTTATAGCCATAAATTTTTGCTTATGTAGCAACTAACATTATAAGCAAAAAGAACACAAATATTCATTTTACATGTAATTAGTTTGCCAAAAAAAAAAGATGTGAGAAATAACACTTCATCACGATCTCTTTATTTCTACACTATTTTAAAACCTTGCAATATAAAATACACTAGATTTTGACTAGTGCGGATTTATTTCCTTTGACATATTTATTATAATAAATGTGTTTATAAATAAAATGTATATCAAGTGTCTTAATGATTTTTGTTACCATGTCATACATAATATATTCTTTGTCTGTTTATCAAGTTAATTTACTTAAATCGAAAAATCTTTTTTTTTATTTTATCTTTTGAATTTATTGTATGAAACAATTACAAAATTGGATGTTATAGAGAAAATTCTCGGAACTTATTTGATTTGAATCCTAAAATTTATGAGCTTTTATTTATTATGTTTTATATTTATATTTCTATAACAAATTTTGTTTTTATTTAAATATTTATATATTATTGGCTGTTTAAAAGATCAATAACATTGAAATATAATGATTTGGATATATGCTAACCATATACTATAATAGTAAAGTTAATACTATTGAAAAATAATATTAACGGCAACTTCATAAAGGAATAAAGTTAGGTTTTGAATAGAGTTATAGGGTATATGGTTAATACACAAACGAATTTTGATGGGTTAGTAAACATACACGAAATGGGCTTAAAAATTCGATGAATAAACTATTAAAGTTATTGAGCTGTCTTGTTTAGTTGGAGAGCTACGATCTAATTTGTTGGCCTTTCAATTTCCGAGAACCATTTTTTAAAAATTCAAAAAAGTAATGGTAATTTTTTTAATTAATTAGAAAACTTAAGGACTTAATTACATTCTCCATCGTTGTTACGACACTGAATCAGGAATAACACTTTGTGTCTAAGTTTTTTTTAAACCTAATTTGTCAGAAAAGGTTGCATATCGCATTTCTTTTAGCTGAGTTGTAATTTGGATTTTGGATGCAGATACTCTGTTTCAAAAGAAGTTTTTCAAAATTTGATTGAAGGGTCAACTATCCCTAGTGAGTGTACACATATCCACCTTATGTTGATTTGTGCTACAAGAGGAATTATAATTCTTTTTTGTTTTTGTTTTTTGCTGTGTTTGTTGAGCTATTATTATAAAGACTTACAATAGAGTTTTTTTTTAATACGTCAAACAAAGTAAATTAGATAGTTAATTAAAAACGAGTTTGGCAAGGTTGAATCCACCATCCCTGCGTATCATCACCACCATTTTGTATCCTCATTGAAATAGCCAGCCACGATAGTCATTGCTTTGTCCTTGATGTGTTTGTCTTGGCTAGCCATAAGCGCATTGATCTTCTCCAACCCTCCTGCGTTGAGAATCCTCCTAGCGTAGCCAGAACCTCCTCCTCTTCCTGGGTTCTCCTCATATTGACCTACTCTTAAAATGTCCTCTAGAGCACTCAAAGCAAATAGGATGATACGTTGTTCTTCGAGAGATGTGAGAGTACCACACAATGCTTCAATACATCCTTGGCTCACAAGTAAACTGCAATGAATCATTTACCTTTTTCAAATTTCAAGATGACAAAAAATATCACATTTAAAGGCTGTATATATTCCATTAACCATATGTTTTCTGGTACGAAAATCACTTTGTGGGAGGTATGTTTTCTTTTGTTGTGACATGAAAATATATGGGACAAGTCTCTATTGTACATATTGTTGAGGGGTACTAAGAGAAACATGAAAATGAAACAGACCTTATATGCTCACGGTTTCTCTCACGTGTTACACTAGAAATCGTTCCTACACACCAAATCTCAAGGTGGGGATCATGGTTTTGAAGAAGAGGAATCATATTTTGCATAACTCCTGACACAATCACTTCCTGCATGCAAACAAAATTATCCAAGGTTATAGCATCATGTACAACAACTGCTAAAATATTTTTTGACACATGAAAATTAAACTTACTTCAAGTTGATTTTGGTCCCACGAAGCAATCTTGTAGACAATGTAGGAAGCTATTGTCTTGTCATGGGTATCTTCTGCTTTTGTCAAATAAGAAGCAATACTAGGAATTGGTTTTTGATCAATAACCACTTGTGCATGATCTCTGTTCTCCCATCTGAGTACAGCAAATATTATACGAATGACTTCTCTATTAATCTTTGCGCTCTCGTGCCTGAATGGCAGAAGAAAAAAAACATTGATTAATTATAAAACACCAAGAGTATTTTACGCTAGGAGAATTTAAAAACTTACTTTAATAATTCCATTAGTCGAGGAATAACCTCCAAATTGATAAGGGCTTTTCGTGTGTCATCATTATCGCCTTTCGCAAAGAAACTTGCAAGAAGAGAAGAGGACAAAAAGAGGAGATCAGAGTTTTCTGATTGCAAGAACCTCTTAAGTACTGGTAGTGCTGGTTGAATCTACTCAAACAAACAGAGTTATAAAGAAGAAGAAAACAAGGGTCGTTTATATTAGCTTAATTAATAATCAGTAAAACAAAAACACAACCTGAGCAAGTGGAGGACAAAGCCTCAAACGGCACAAAATTGTGAGCGTTGCCGTAGCATCTCTCAGCATGGTGGTGGTTGGATTTGGCACATCGCATTGAGACAGAAGAGGCATCAAGGCTCCACAACTTAAGACATAATCACGGCTTTCTATTGACTTATCAGCAATGTTTCGCAGTGCCCGCACAGCCTGTAATCAGCAAAGAAACAAATAACTCAGTCTTGATCTAACACTAATTAAACACATGATAAGTACTGATGATATTTGATCCAAAAAAAAGAAAGTGCTGATGATACCAATAATCGGTCTTCCTCAGCGTCAGCGTTGAGAAGTTGGACGAATAACGGGACTGTGTCACAATCAACGAGGACCTGTACGTCCGCAGACGTGGTCATTTTTTCGAGCAGCCAAGCGGCTTCATGCTAAAGTAAATACATACATAGAAGCAGGAACGAACAGCAAATCAAATCATGCATATATATATAGATCAAAACACAATCAATATATATATAAAACGAAGGATCACCTTAAGCTGAGGAGGGAAGTCATTGTTGGCAAGAAACTGAACGAATCTCGAAACAACATCCGGACTAGTAATATCTTCGAGAAGATTATGCTCACGAGTTACTATATCCCTGATTCCAATAGTCGAGTCTAGTTGTGACTCTGTATCATCCGACATGATTCCATCAAGCAAATCATCTAAACGCACCCTCTAGGCACAAAAGAAGAAAGCGAGGGATGAATCAGTTTTTTCAAGTTCTATATGGTGCAATGATGATACATGTTTTGAAATCAAGCGCTATGTTGCAGAAACCAAAATAAAAACAAAAACAAAAAATACCGGCTCAACGCCACCCCCTGAATAGTCGATCGTTTGGCATGGAATCCTCAATGGAATCATCGTACGTTGGTTGGATTCTTTAGATGAGTTAAGAGAAGGAGGCGAGAGTAAGGAACTTTCTTTTTTGTTTGTTTTGAGTATGAGAGTCCCGTTTATATACAAAGTTGAGAGAGAGGGGGGAGATGTGAATTGATTTATTGTTTCATATTAAGTGTTACTTTTAGATTTTCAATGCATAATTTAAACAAATTTCAGTTTTAACCTCATGAGTTAATGTATTAACAAGAGTTATTAAATAATATAATGTATTTATGGGGGAAAGTTTGAAATTTAATATACTTTCGTAATCTATTATATATACATGAAAATGACACTTAGCTAAAAGTTTCTGTTTTTTTTCAAGTCAAAAGTTTCTTGTTAGAAAACTTTACCAGTGCATATTCTATGCTCTACATCATCGGATCACACAGTGTTCATCGTAGGATATGGTTCACAGAGTGGTGTTGCTTACTGGATTGTGAAGGGGATCGACACTTTAGTTAAAAAGGTTTTTTGTTATTAGAAGACCAGAAATAAACTGTGTTAAACCGGAAGCGAACCAATTCAATTAACAAAAAATTAGAAATCAAAAACTAAACCATAAAACGTGGAACATAGACACGTGTCGTGAGAAGGCGTAACCCCATGTGCATCATCATACCGTGTGCCCGAAGCAGTACAAGCAGAACAGAAGAGTAGAAATAAACCGTCTTTAACCGGAAATGAACCAAATCAATTACACAAAATTTTAGAAATCGAAAGACTAAACCATAAAAACGTGAATAATGGACACGTGTCGTGAGAAGACATAACCTCTGTGCGTCATCATCCCACGTGACCGGAAGTAGTAGAAGAAGAACAGTAGCGTGTTATAAACAAGACAGTAACTTTGACCCCAACAAAGCGCGAGAGATTGCGATGAAGAGTGTTTGGATCATACTACTCTGTTTATTTTTTATTGCAGAGGCAGATCAAGATGGTTTTGATGTTCGTCATCACTTATCCACCGTCACTAGGTTCTTTCACTTTCCTTCTTATTACATTCTCCATCGTTGTTACGACATTTGAATCAGATACAACACTTTGTGTCTGTTTAAACCTAATTTGTCAGAAAATGTTGCATATTGCATTTCTTTTAGCTGAGTTGTAATTTGGATTTTGAATGCAGATACTCTGTTTCAAAAGAAGTCTCTCAAAATTTGATTGAAGGGTCAACTATCCCTAGTGAGTGTACACCTATCCACCTTAACCTTGTGGTAAGCATAAACTGTTACTCCTTCTGTTCCACTCAGATTAGAAAAGAAATTGCTTCACAAAGATTAAATGTTTTATTTCTTGTAAACTTCAAAAACATTAATTGAGTTTATTGAATTACTAATGGTGAAAAGTTATTGGAAATTGATAATTACAAAAAAAAATAATAGTCATTTAAATTGTTTTCTTAAATGTGTGAAAACATTTTTAAAAAAAGTATCTTTATAGAATGGAGGTAGTATCTTGATGAGTATAGGATGAAGAATCTAAATGAGGAACTGATGAATACTGAAAATGGTGTTAGGCTAGGCATGGAACTCGTTCTCCAACCAAGAAAAGGTTACGGGAGCTAGAGAATTTATCTGGTAGGTTAAAGGAAATTGTAAGAGATGCAGAAGGTAAGAAAGTTCCTGGATGGTTAGGGAAATGGGTATCTCCATGGCAAGGGAAAGTGAAAGGCGGTGAGCTGATCAGGCAAGGAGAGGAGGAGTTGTACCAGCTTGGAATCAGAGTTAGGGAACGGTTTCCGACTTTGTTTGAAGAGGATTATCACCCTGATGTTTATACAATAAGAGCTACACAGGTTGGTGGTTGCTTTAAGTTACAAGCAAAGTTTTTCTTTACACTCATGAATTGGTTAATCTATTGGTATTTGGTAGATTCCCCGGGCGTCTGCAAGTGCTGTGTCATTTGGAATGGGGTTGTTTAGTGAGAAAGGAGATCTTGGACCTGGTCGTAATAGAGCGTTTGCTGTCACTAGTGAGAACCGTGCTAGTGATACCAAGCTGAGGTTTTTTGAGTGTTGTCAAAACTATAAGGTATATAGTTGTGATTGAATCTGTATGATTATTTGCTTCTAGAGATTTTTTTATGTTTCTTTTACATGGTTTATGAATGCAGAGCTATAGGAAAGCTAAAGGTCCTGCTGTGGATAAGCTCAAGGAACCTGTTCTTGAGAAGATTACAGCTTCCGTTGCAAAGAGACATGATTTGAATTTTACAAAACAGGACATTTCTTCTCTCTGGTTTCTATGCAAGCAGGACGCATCATTGCTTAATGTAACACATCAAAGTTGTGAACTCTTCACGCCATCTGAGGTAAATTCTTTATTGATGTGTTTGAATGTTCTTTAGCTTTATGATTTAGTGTTTATTTATGTGTAACAACACATGATCAAATGTAGGTTGCTTTGCTGGAATGGGCAGATGACTTGGAAGTGTTTCTCCTCAAAGGTTATGGAAACTCCTTGAACTACAAAATGGGAGTTCCATTGCTCGAAGATGTTATGCATTCTATGGACGAAGCTATCAAGGCCAGAGAAGGTAATAATGTCAACTTCAAACCAAAGAAAGAAAGATAGAACTATTTGCTTCTCATCTTGATCCTTTTTTTAATTACCTATGCAGACAAGTTCCCATCTGGAAGCTACGAAAAAGCAAGACTGAGGTTTGCACATGCGGAAACAATAGTTCCCTTCTCTTGTCTTCTTGGACTTTTCCTAGATGGATCTGGTTAGTCTATCAACAATACTCACTTCTCTCAAAATTCTTGTGTTGCTTGTTTCTAAAGGAGGTTTAAAATGTTTTGCAGAGTATGAGAAAATACAGAAGGAGAAACCATTGGAGCTCCCTCCACAGCCTCCTAAAACTAGGGACTTTAAAGGCAGCACCATGGCTCCTTTTGGTGGGAACAACATGCTTGTCCTCTACAGTTGTCCTGCAGCTTCCTCTCCCAAGTACTTCGTGCAGGTTCTGCACAACGAGCATCCTATTGCACTTCCAGTTAAGTTTCATCTGATTATGTAGTGGCAAGTGGAAACGTAGAATTTTAGATCAAACTTTTAACTTCTTAAACGCTCTTCTTACACGTTTATCCATTTCTGCCAACAGGGTTGTGATGGAAAAGACTTCTGTCCTCTTGAAGATTTCAAGGTATTCTCCAACATTCCCTCTGAATGTTTCCTCGTTAAGACTAACACACGCATGCATATGACTCTCTTCTCTTTTTGTGTGTTCTCTTACAGGACAAAGTGGTGACCCCTCATCTCAAGCATGCTTTTGACAACCTCTGCAATGCTAATCTAGATGACCCTAAACAGAAGAATCCATCTTTGTGGAGTTGGCTGTTGGGATCAAGCCAAAAAGCCGAGCTCTAAATTACTATTTACTTGAAAACTTTTCCTTACATTAGAGTTCGAAACCTCAAATCACATAGAGCAATCAGCAATGTTTGACTGTCTTTTTGTTTGTCCCCCTTGTCACAGTTGTTTAATCCGCTAATCTGAAATGGCTCGAGAAGCATCTCAAGTTTTGTATTGATCCGCTAGTCTCTCTGTAGCTTAAAGCAGTTCATGTACAATGTGTTCTCTCACAAAACTGTTAAGATGAGATGCGTACCCAACCGGACGCATCACTTATTATGTTGATTTGTGCTACGTGGAACTATAATTCTTTTGTTTATGTTTTTTGCTGTGTCTGTTGAGTTATTCTTATAAAGATTTACAATAGAGTTTTTTTTTTATTAATATATCAAACAAAGTAAATTAGACAGTTAACCAAAAGGAATAACTAAAGAAGAGTTTGGCAAGTTTGAATCCACCATCCCTGCATATCATCACCACCATTTTTTATCCTCATTGAAATAGTTAGCCATGATATACATTGCTTTTTCCTTGACGTGTTTGTCTTGGTTAGCCTTAAGCGCATTGATCTTCTCCAGCCCTCCTGCGTTGAGAATCCTCCTAGCGTAGCGAGAACCTCCTCCTCTTTCTAGGTTCCCTTGATTCTCCTCGTCTCGACCTACTCCTAGAATGTCCTCTAGAGCACTCAAAGAAAACTGGATGATACGTTGGTCGAGAGATGTGAGAGTATCACACAATGCTTCAATACATCCTTGGCTCACAAGTAAACTGCAATGAATCATTTATTTTTTAAAAATTTAATTCAGGATAGATAAAATATCACATTAATAAAGGGGTGTGTATTTTCCATTAACATATGTTTTCTGGTACGAAAATCACTTTGTGGGAGGTCATGTTTTATTTTGTTGTTATATGAAAATATATGGGACAAGTCTCTATTGTATTTATAGGGGTACTAAGAGAAACAGGAAAATGAAACAGACCTTATATGCTCACGGTTTCTCCCAATTGTTACTCTATAAATCGTTCCAACACAAAAAATCACAAGGCGGGGATCATGGTCTTGAAGAAGAGGAATCATATTTTGCACAACTCCTGACGCAATCACTTGCTGCATGCAAAACAAAATTATCCAAGGTTATAGCATCATGTACAACAACTGCTAAAATATTTTTTTGACACATGAAAATTAAACTTACTTCAAGTTGATATTGGTCCCACCAAGCAACATTGTAGACAATGTAGGAAGCTACTGTCTTGGCCTGAGTATCTTCTGCTTTTGTTAAATAAGAAGCAATACTAGGAATTGGTATTTGGTCAATAACCAGTTGTGAATGATCTCTGTTTCCACAACTGAGTACAGCAAGTATTGTACGAATGACTTCTCTATGAATCTTTGCGCTCTCGTGCCTGAATGGCAGAAAAAAAAAACATTGATTAATTATATAAAACACCAAGAGTTTTTGACTCTAAGAGAAATTTAAAAACTTACTTAAATAATTCCATTAGTAGAGGAATAACCTCCAAATCGATAAGGGCTTGTCGTGTCTCATCATTTTCGCCTTCCGCAAAGAAAGTTGCAAGAAGAGAAGAGGACAAAAAGAGGAGATCATAGTTTTCTGATTGCAAGAACCTCTCAAGTACTGGTAGTGCTGGTTGAATCTACTCAAACAAACAGAGTTATAAAGAAGAAGAAAAAAATACAAATTATATTAGCTTAATTAATAATCAATGAACAAAACATTATACCTGAGCAAGTGGAGGACAAGGCCTCAAACAGCACAAAATTGTGAGCGTTCTTGTAGCATCTCTCAGCATGGTGGTGGTTTGATTCGGCACTTCGCATAGAGACAGCAGAGGCATCAAGGCTCCACAACTTAGGACATGATCACTGCATTCTATTGACTTAGCAGCAATGTTTCGCAGTGCCCGCACAGCCTGTAATCAGCAAAGAAACAAATAACTCAGTCTTGATCTAACACTAATGAAACACATGATAAGTACTGATGATATTTGATCCAAAAAAAAAAAGAAAGTGCTGATGATACCAATAATCGGTCTTCCTCAGCGTCCGCGTTGATAAGTTTGACTAATAACGGGACTGTGCCACAACCAACGAGGACCTGCACGTTCTCAGTGGTCATTGTTGCGAGCATCCTAGCTGCTTCATGCTAAAGTAATAATACATACAAGCAGAAACGAACAGAAAATCAAATCATGCATATATATAGATCAAAACACAATCAACATATATATAAAATGAAGGATCACCTTAAGCTGAGGGAAGTCATCGTAGGCAAGAAATTGATTAAATCTCGAAACAATATCCGGACGAGTAATATCTTCGAGAAGAGGATGCTTAGTTACTAGCTTCCTGAGAGAAATAGTCGCGTCTAGTTGTGAGTATGTATTATCATCATCCGTCATGATTCGTTGAAGGAAGTGTTCTAAACGCACCATCTAGGCACAAAAGAAGAAAGCGAGCGATGAAACAGTTTGTTTCCATGTTCTAAAATAAGCTATGATGCAGAAACCAAAAAAAAAAGAAGATACCGGATCAACGTCCTCTTCTGAAAATTCGATCCTCCTCCTTGGAATCCTAAATGGAGGCATCGTTAGTTGGATTCTTTAGATGAGTTAAGAGAATGAGACGAGAGTAAGGAACTTTTCTTTGTTATTTGTTTTGAGTATGAGAGTCCCGTTTATATACAAAGTTGAGAGAGAGAAATAGAGAGGGAGATGTGAAACAAATGAATGACTAGTAGTTAGACTACTACTTTGTTTGACTTGATGGTACGTGTAAAGCAAACAAAAGAAACTAATTTCGTTTAATCATAAAATTAAACCATTATCTCACATTCCTAATACAATATAAATTCCAAAAACCATTTGAAAAATAGATTGATTTTACACAGGACTAAGAACGAACCCATAACATTATTTGGTACAACACATAAATCCATTATTTAGGACCAAGATATAAACTCATATCAATAAACGGATTTTATTTAGAACAAAGAGATACTAAAGATAATTTAATTTTGGTTTTTCTTTTTGTTTCGGTTTGACAATTTAATTATCTTTTTTTTTTATCTCTGTGTTCTAAATAAAATCCGTTTATTGATTGTGACTTCTCTAAAATAATGATATATTTTGCTTTATGATGATTTCGTTATTACTCCATATTAATAATGGTCTTTTTTGTTCGTTATCATCAGGTCCAACAGTGAATGATTATTTTAGTTTTTCAAATGATTTTGGAAGACAAATTTGATGTGATTAAACTATGTGTGATCAATCTATTTTCAAATGAATTTTGGAATTTATATTGTATTAGATATGTGAGATAATGGTTTATCGTGTGATTAAACTAAATTTGTTTCTTTTGTTAGCGTTAGACGTACCATCAAGTCGATGTAGTAACCTACTAGTCACTCCTTTGTTTCAGATCCCCCTCAATATGTTTATTTTATTATATAAGATTCAACAAGAAACTATTTTAACATTATCTAAAGTTAGTCAAATATTTAAGAATGATTTAGTGGATTACCCATATTTGAAGTTCAAATTAACAAAATACCATTGGTTGGACATGAAGGACACTGACACAATCATTTGGCAAGGAAATGCCGAGAATGCCCTTTCTCTTTCCTCTCATTAACACGAAGCGTAAAAACATTTGTTAACATATAACACTTCTGTTAACGTCTACAATATTTGTTAACAGCTAACACATTTATTAGCGCGAAGCGTAAAAATAATTGTTAACAGTTAACACTTCTGTTAACGTCTACAATATTTGTTAACAGCGAACACATTTATTAACGTGAAGCATAAAAATAATTGTTAACAACTAACACTTCTGTTAACGTCTACAATATTTGTTAGCCGCTAACACGACGTCGAATTTAAAACCCAGAAAATTGATATCATCAAAAAATTAAGGATTCAAAGCCACTTATGAAAAAAATAATGAAATTTAAAATTTAGTTGTATATAGAATGATAGAGATTTGTAAAATAATTAGGAATTAGAGAGAGAAAAAAAGGTCAAAAAATTGAGGATTCAAAGCCACTTATGAAAAAATAATGAAATTTAAAATTTAATTGTATATAGAATGATAGAGATTTGTAAAATAATTAGGGATTGGAGAGAAAAAAGGTCAAAAAATTGAGGATTCAAAGCCACTTATGAAAAAATAATGAAATTTAAAATTTAATTGTATATAGAATGATAGAGATTTGTAAAATAATTAGGGATTGAAGAGAGAAAAAAAAGGGGGGAAATATCAAAGAGAGGAGAGAGAGTGTAGAGAAGGGCAAAATGGTCCAAATGAAAATGATTGTCACATCATGGGCAAGTCTCTAATTATAGGTGTCAAATAGGGCACTTTAGCCAATTATCTCAATATCTAATGCGATATTTTTTAAAGTATAAATCTTATACTGTCAAATATTCCCGAGTGAGTTATATTATTTGACACATTTGTCTTTTTGTTTATTTAATAAGACAATTTCTAAATGAGAGGCACAATTCATATTCCCAATTCAGGTTTTTGACTGTTTTGCCTTTGGTCCCCTACAAAATTAGTTGTGATGTCATTGGAGGAATTAAAAATGGTAACTAGTAGTTGGTAATTGAATAATATTAGTAGTATTTTCTAATGTGTGTAACGAGAAAAATAAAAATTATTGGTTTAGTTTGAATTGTTTCTTTTATTTTGATTTTATATCACTATTTTTATACTTTTTGTGTTTATATATGTTTTTTCTCAAATTTATGATATATAAAACAAAACTAGTTGTTACAATATTACTATAAACGAACAAATATGGACACAAAGAAAAAAATATACATGTCAAAGATATGTAGATTCAACATCCCAATGTTAGTGGCATACTCATATCTGATACATTCATCACAATAGCGAAGTTAAAGTTAGTACCTAAAACTAACTAAATTAGTGCCTAGTACTTATATATGGATAGCCAAGTTAATGTCAAGTACTCATATATGGATAACCAAGTTAATGTCTAGTACTCATATATGGATAGTGTGATGTATACTTGTGGATATGGACAGAAGAACTGTATTAAAACGAGTTGTGGATATCAGACTTGTGGACCACACATTTTTTCTTACACATATTTTTTGGAACATTTTTACATTATGTATTTTTGTGTTTCTTCAATACTGTATTTTGTTTTGTTCAAACGAATTTGTAACTTACGAGTTTGTTTTTTCTTTAACTACACCGTCTCTTCCTCCACGCTAAGCTCTCAACCATAGCATCCAATCCATGGGCTCCACCATCTTCTCATAACGTCAACGGTTCATCGTTGATGGACCTCCAAAAACACAGTCTCCCCAGCTGAACAATAGAAATGCTGCGAGCTAGAATCTGCTGTGTGTTGCAAGGATGTTCGTCATTGTTGATACAAACAGATGTCTTTGCCTTGAGATATTTTAGCTGTTGATATAAACTGATCACAGTGCTCTACTTCTACGTTATTGTTGACTGATGACGCTATTCTTTGCTTACAGATAACTGTTTCTTACATTCGGAACCTGAAATCACATAGAGGAGTAATGTTGTCTGTCTTTTGTGTGTGCACTTACTTCACAGCTCTTTGTTATCAGCAAAGCAAGTTGCAGGGAAATGTCATTAGTCATTTTATTGGTTACTTTCTACTTGTTCTGAAGTCTCTTTTATTTGAAACCAAATATAAAAGAAAAAGTCTCATCAATCTTCTGCCGTCTACAAGTCTCTGTCTCAGTAAGCATTAAAACGGTATAAAACCCTTCCTTAGAATCTGTCTGAAGGACTTTGCGCAAATTTACAAAACCTACACACGAGGAGCTATGTCTCTCTCTACTTATCTCCCCCTCAGGCTAGGCTTTCTTCTGGAAGAAGAGCGATCCCATTAAGACAACTATTCCCGTTACTGCTACAGTGAAGAAAAGCCTTTTGTTAGAAACATGGTCCCCATCTCTTCGCCTCCTACCGTTTCCATCTCCTTGTGCTGCTGCTCTTGTGTTCCTTCTACACATTAGTCCATGCCACGGTATGAGTTTAGCCAAAAAGAATAACCCTTTGAAAAGGATTTAGATCAGAGAATCTACCTGGATGATTCAGCATTGTTGAGCACAGAACCAGGACACTTGGTTTCATGGTTATATGTTTCTCGCAATCTAACATAGCTGTTGCATTGATAACAGAGCTCAGTGCGGTTGCCACATACTTCCTGATTATTTATAAAACCATAGAGAGTCAGTCAGATAATCCTTTCAGTGGAGGGCAAGTTAAAAGTGGAGGAATACCTGATGGTCAGGGAGATCAACTGCAGGCAAGGGAAACTCACAGAACTCACACGTTACAATCCTCTTGGGACAAGTCTCTCCTTCATGACTATCAAAAACCTCACGTTCTATGGTCTCTTTACACATCGAGCATGGTACCTTAACAATGCAGTACAAGACGAATCTCATAAGCTTAAAGCTGTCAATATGCAAAACATCAATCAAACTAGACATAGTAAAAACAGCTTACCGGAGCATGTGTGGTCAAGAAGTGTTCATCAGCATGTATTTTGGGAACCATATCACCACAAATCTTGCATTTTTCTAGATTCCTTGCACAATGTACACGATGCAGATCAATGTTTGGTGCTGGAATGTCTCTGTCACTGAAAAACATTTAAATTGTCTAAAGCTTAATATAAGGTTTGTAATCATATACTAAATCATCACCGAGATAGACCTAGCTGATTTTTCATGGACATAGAGAGATAACAGAGCTCATAAGTTTCTTCAATTCAATCCCACACAAAGGTTATAACTTTACAATCACCGACCAATTGCAAGCAAAAAAGATCAAAACTTTCGAATCAAGAAAGAGTATAGCGAGAAGAAATCGCATATCCGATCAATTAAGAAAAAAAAAAACAGAGCCACGAGATAAAAGAAAATCAATAAATGGTTTCGGGGGGAAAAATACCAGTGGTTGCATACGATGCTGATTTCTCCCGTCGTCTCAGTTGCCATCATCGTCAATTGCAAAGACAAAAAAAAAGCTTACGAGGAGGACGCTGAGATGGAAGATTTAGGCACGGATCTTTACGTGAGAGAGAGGAGAAGTGAAGAGAGATGTGTAATTAAACTTTTAGATTAAATCATTTATTGAATGTCTCTCTATAGTGACTTCCTCTCACACTCCTCTCCTCTCGTTGTACTACACGCGCCACATTACAATAAACACTTTTAGATTAAATCATGAGAAATTGCACTCCATGTACAAACTTAAGTTGATAATTTGCTGGGATGGATTTCACTTTTTTCATCTGAAGTGTTTTTTCTTAATGACCAAACCACCCCTATCCTTCTCTTATACAGCCTAAAATGTATATACTGAATCTATACACAATATATCCCTGGCGTATTCTTTCTTTGTCTCTCTCCTC